CATTCTCCTTGTCGAGAGTCAGTCAACAACTAGAGAAAAAAAAAAAAAAAGAAAAAAAAAGGAAAATCACAATTCTACAAAGGGGCTGCGGCAATGAAGGGAAGAAGGAAGAGCTTTTCTAGTTTTTTTTCTTTTCTAGGGTTACTAATCATGAATACTTAATTGTTTATGGCATTGTTATTATCAAGTTTTTCATCTTTATTGAGTATCTTTTGCTATTCGTAATGTGCTTATTTTTATTTAGATGCTTGATCATCATCTAAGTTTAAATTATGTAGATTTGATGTAAGTTAGAGTAGATGCCATACTTAACTTGGGTTTAGCTTCTTGCAATTGACACCATAAATACCTATTTGTAGATGCCATACAACTACGGTTTGTGTGATTTTCCAATGATTTCCATAGAGCTTAATGGGCTCTTACTTGTTTACATTCATCTAGATGTCATAGAGGGTTAACATGTAAAGATACTTTTGATGTAACTAGATGCCATGGCCGTCGAATAATTTAGGAAAAATGGATCATCAATATTGGGGAACTACTTGAGCATAACATATTAAGAGAATTGAGTAGAATTGGTTATGGTGAATTCAGATGCCCTAGGTCTTCTTTTCTTATATATGTTTTCAATTTGTAATTTACATGCATTTTATTTTCAAACTGTATTTTATTTTAGTTTAATTTCCAAGTTTCATATCTTTTCCATTAAAGCTTCTCCACTATGAGTTGTTTCAATTTAGTTAGTAAGATTTTAGAATCAATTCGATCTCTGTGGGACGATATCCGTACTTATATGCTATACTGTCACTTGATTTGTATACTTGCGAGCACGAAAATTCGAGGCTTAGTGAGTTTAATTTTGGTTATGAGTAATGATTATTTGTGTAATGGTGATTTGATGAATATTACCCCCGTTGGTACAATTCCTCTGACTCTTGATCATACTAAATTCGATCTCCGTAATGTTTTCCTCATTCTCATTCTGAACTTCGCAAAAATCTTCTTTCTGTTGGCTTTCACCTCAAAAAATCTAGTTTTTTCCCTTTTTTTTTACCTTCTAGTTTCTACCAAATTTATGACTTACGCACTGATTTCTTACTTTTCAAGGCCGTGTGGATGGATTTTATCCGTTGACCCTAACTTCTACCACCTCCTCTATTCCCAAGCGTTCGCTACTATCTGTCCTTCCAACTAGCATCAACAGCTCAATCACCCTTCGTCTCATGTCATGTCTAGTCTATGTTCTAGTCCAGGTTGATGTTAAAGTTGATAAAAATCCTTTTGTAAGGGCTGTGCCCTTAAGAAGTCTACTCAACTTCTGTTTTACTCTAATAATACTCGTTCTTCGTCCTTGTTCTATATTGTTCATTCTAATGTGCGGATATCTCATGTTACTCCTGTTAGTGGGTTTCGGATATATCCTATGAAATGAAAATCTCAAGTGTTCGATCATTTTAAGAGTTATGTTTCCATGGTTTGTAACATTTTTTTGCTGTAAGATTATGGTTTATCAAAGTGACAATGGTACAGAGTATGTTAATCAATCTTTTTCTAATTTCTGTTATGTATTGAGCATTGGACATTACTCTTGCCTTCATACTCCTCAACAAAATGGGCTTATTGAACGTAAACATCGTCACATTTCATCACTAATCTAGGTCTTTATTACATATGGCTGGTCTGCCACACATTTTGTGGGTCGAGATCGCTCTTACATTTATAGGGAAGGTAATCAAGTTACTTGTGAATCATGGTTCTTCTTCTACTGGTCTTGTTCAGTGGGATTCTCCTCCTGATTTTATTTTGCCGTATTATCAGCGTGATTATGTAGGGCTTCCACACTACAGCTTTAGATAGATGCTCTTTTGTTGGTCTTGTTATATTTTGTGTTGGGTGCTTGAGGTTTTGTTTGTTATGGATGTTATTATTGTCAAAGTTAAGCTTTATGTCCTCTTTGACAGTTTGTAATTTTTCTTCTTTTTATTTTTATTTTTATTTTTTTATTTTTATAATGATACCTCATTGTTATCTCCCATGATAGCAATACTGAAGTAAGATTGACTATGTGGTTTTAACAGAAAAAAAAAAAAAAAAAAAAAAAATCATCCTACCTCGGTTCTTAGTTGGAACTCTCTTTATTCCGTCACCCACCTACCTACTCTCATCTTCATGACTATGGTTGGCTCTCCTTTCCCCACCTTGAACCATATGTCACCGGCAAACTGATTAGATGGTCGATCTAAACCGTATCTTTTTAGGTTATAGTCCTCAGCACGAGGATTATCGGTGTCTTGGTCCTCAAACAAGTTGTTTCTATGTATCGCGTCATATTATTTTTTAGTGAAAGTTCATTTTCTTAATAGTAATTTGCAGGTACTGCGCTCATCGGAGTGTTGTCAATGATTTGCTATGTGTGCATGGCAACTCTGCTTTTTTATTAGGAAGTCACTTGAAAAGTGGTTCATTTTTTTCTTTGAGACCTTACATTTTCATCGTTCAATGCATTTTTATTCATTTAGACAAGTTTTGTAACTAATTTATTCTTTCCATCGTAAATATATCATTTTACAGATTATATGTACAGTACCTGATGTAACCTGGCAATTCGACGAGAATTAATTATTAATTGAAGTTGGGTCAATCATCATGCATACATTGGAAAAGAGTTAAAAAATCTCATTTGTATATATTACACCTACTGTCTAAGGTTCTCATTTTAAGGACGTGTAAGGCTCTTTTTTATGAGTCATCAAATTAATATTATCGTAAATTAAGTTATCAATTTAAATACTTTATGTTATATTGAAACACAAAAATTCTACAAAGTGATTAAATTCTCCCTTATCGTCTCTCTCCTCCACATCACTTTTCTCTCTCTCTCTCCATCTCTCTCGATTGTTCACTACCCTGCTCTCCTCCTGAGGTTTTTTTTTTTTTTTCCTTTTCTTGTAAGAAAAAAAGAAGAGGGACCTGTTTCAAAATTTTCACCGTCGTAAAAAAATTTCATACGAAAGAGTTCAAGCGTTTAAGAAGAAATGCGATCCCAATATATTCGAAACCATAGATTCTCAATTTTTTTGGTTCTTTGTAACTAATTGGATTTGAATATTATTGATAAAAGATTGGATGAAATTAGATGTCCAAAGTTATTAGGGTTTTATGCAATTGAATTTGCTGGATTTAGATATTGATGAAGAGACTAGTTTTTTGTTTTATTTTATTAGTTATTATTTTGTTTCCGTGTAACATAAATTATTTAAATTGATAGCTTAATTTATCGTAAGGTTAATCTGAAACTCTTATTAAAAAAAGACACAAATTCTCAAAATGAGGACTTTTGGAGAGCAGCTTTATTGTGTGTGCCGCACAACAAAATATTCATACTATTGAAGCGGTTCGTCGACAACCTGAAAAACCTTCTTTGAAATGAACTCACCACCATCCTAAAGTTTTGATCTAGTAAGTACATCACAGGTCCTCAAAATGAATCCATTTCGTACAAGTTGATCTCCTAAAACCTTTCTCATTTTGTTGCGAAAAGATAGCTTGAAGCTCGGAAATACAAAAAGGATGCTACCATCGCTTTAGTCCTGAGGGCAAAGGCAGCTAAATCTTTGCTAGCAATAGGTAAAGGGAATTGTTATTGGCATTCCAAAAATTTCATTCTACATTCCAAACTATCTATATTAGGAAAGAAAAATACACTCGTGAATTTTAGAGTGCCAATAACACTTCCCTAGGTAAATACATTTTTTATATATACTGACCACAAGAATGATATCCATATATATATATATATATGGATTAGGATCTGGGACATAAGTTGTTGACGTACATTTGTGAGTCTTACTTCGTAATGTATTTCAATGATCCACCTGTTTATCTTTTGTCTTACATCGAAGTTCATGTCTATAAAAAAAATTATTCAAATCTGAAATCATGACCGTAGGATTAAATTTAGTGTTTGCAAAACCGTATTTGTCTATGTTTTTCACTACACTTAAATGTCTTAATGATATTGTATTTGTCTATTTTTTTTTAAAGGATGATCTATGAATGACGTACTCAAATATATACAATTACGATCATTGAAATACATTATGAAGTGAGTTCTACAAAATATGTGTCAAAATGTATGCGTCCCCCAATATATATATATATATGGCCAGGATCTGTAGACACAAAATTTTCGCACACCAAAATGAATAAGTAACACAGCAATTGGCAAAGTACGTGTGCTTGAATTCTGAAATGCATAGCCTTAAACTTGAGTTAGACTAACTGTTAACATGATCATAACCAAAATATAGGGCATGTGTTATTTGATTTAAACTTAAGCTGCCTTTCCCACAAGATAGCAACAATAATATCAAATGGGAAATGATAAAAAGTTCCTAATTCCTTGTAAAAACTAATTATCATATACCTAAAAGTAAGTATTAATTCAAGTAGCCATACTTCAATATAGCCACTACCAACATCACCGATATTATCTTTACTTAATTACTTATTACTAGGCATGGAGCTTTATCATAAAAGGGCTCAATGATATTAAGGATCGAATTTCTCATACATTAATTGTATATTTTATTATCATATACCTGATATGAGATTCCATTCTCCAACAATCTACACAAATTGTTTCTTGATCAAGGAGCACAAGGATGCAACCACATAATAAGAAGATAGAAAGAAAAACACTAGCTGAAACATAAGGTTACTTTGAATGCTTTGTTAATTAACTCTCTACAAACTGGTACTCTAGAATGGCTTCAAGTGCTACAAACTCACTTTTGTAGGATAACTTTTCCAATTTTCTACGGCTGTTATTGCTTATGTTCTATAAACATCGGGTATAATTAACACAATGCTTACATCTCTAGGGAATATATGAGCATTAAAAGCATTATATAGATAATATTTAACGTATTGATCTTACCTGACTTGCAATGATGTACAAAGAACTTGGTGTGTGCTGCACTTGCAATGAACAAACGATGGGAAGGATAAACACAAACTTCAATTTTCCATAAAACAATATACGTGAGACTAAACATAGAAACAAAACAGTGGAACTATCAACCCAGCTGAATACTGGTATATTATTCAGTCATTTGATAAAATGATCCAGACATCATAAATTGTTGCATATACGTTCCACTATCTCCACCAAAAATAATTTTTTTTCTTCTACTCTAACGAATTTGTAGGATCACAGTTCTTCTGAATCAGAAGCATCTTGAAGTTGTGGGCCTTTTCAGTCAACCCAATGTCTGTGAAAGCTTTGAAAACCCTACTGCAGGCAGTAACAGAAAAATCTGTAGTAGTTGATTGCCTCCACCGATCAATAACTTCTCCTACTTCTTTTAACTGGCCAAGCATTAGGTATGAAGAAAGAATGCAAATATAGTTTCTACTTGTCATCTTTTGCCCAGTCATTATCAAGGATTTCCATATCTGATCAATCCTTTCCTTATTTCCTAAACCAGCATGCAGAATAATAAGGAAGTCGTACGTGATCCATTCTCTTTGTGTGATTACTTTCTCAGCTTCAACTACTAGAGTGCTGCACTCTGCATTCACAAGATGCCCAATGCTAACATATATATTTGCCAGGTTAATGTATCTCTCCCATCCTTCGCCAAAACCAGGATCATGTCTCATTTCATCTAAAATCTGTTGAAGTTGATCAATCTTTAGAGTTGCAGCACATGAACTAATCCAAAGATTGTAAGTGAAGATATCCGGTGCAACCTTGTGGCATTTCAGATCTTCCACGACTAAAGAGACCTTCTCTACTTGCCCCACTGACATGTACAAAGTCATCATCTCATTGTATGTAAGGGCACTAAGGGACAGGTTAGATTCCTTTATCCTCTCATAGAGGTTCTCAGCCTTTTCAGTCAATTTTGCCCCAGCATAAGAGTGGAGAAGAGCAGTATATGTTTCACTTGTTTTTGCAGTAAGAGGTAGACCTTCAAAGTATCGTTCCGCAGCATCGATGCCAAAAACTTTTGTCATCAAGACAATGCGGACTGCATAGTCAGAATCTGATAGCTCAAAATCATTATGACTGACCATCCACTCGGATATCTGCAAGCTTGTACAAAACAGAATCCACTGAAACAGAGAACTAAAAGAGGCATACGAAGATTACATTTTGTTGTGTTCCCAATTTCATTCTTGTTTTGGAAACAAGAAATATGTTTACTTTTAGACATTTTTAAACCAGAAAAAAAAAAAAGGTGAAAACATGCTGGCTCGTTTCGTATGTAGGATTGGATTGGAATGGATAACTCCATAATTTCAAGGTATATTGAGGTGAGAAATGAAAAAACTATGACCAACTAGAGGGTAGAAGATGGATTACTCATGAAGCAAACTTATCCATTTCAAATCTCTCCAAAATTGTAGGATTAGAAGGGATGAGTTTTCTTCATGTCTACTCCTCTTCTAATCCCCTCCTAATGAAAAATCATTCACTTGTACCATCAATATGCCTTAAATTTAAGGACTTATCCATTCCAATCCAATCCTACATGAAAAAAGGAGCCTGCTAGGTACACTTAGAAGCTGTAGAAGGACACCTATTGCAAGTGAAATAAAGTTAAAACCTTAGTAAGCACAAGTCTAGTGCCGACTAGCTCAACTAGAAACAAGGAAAAGTTAGTGCACACTGCACATACATTTCATTTCAACATTATAAAAACTTATAGGAATTTAAACGGGTTGGGGTTGCTATCCGTTTTTAAACGGGTTGGTATGTGGTCATTGTTTGATTTTGATCATTTCAGCGATTGAAAATTGTAAAATCTCCTATTCTATTCCAAGCTTTCAACTTTCCCTCGATTTCTAGCTAACCAAACACAAAATATCAAACAGTGAAAAAAAGGAAAGGGGGCAATTAGCTCCAATAATCAGAAATCAAACCCCAATTGCTGAACTAAATCAAATATTGACAACATATCGACCACAAAGTAATCGCATAACACTGAAAACCCCACTATTTCAATAATTGCGATTTGAAAAATGAACATTTTGGCAAATTTCCCAAATATAAAAAGAGAATCCAACCTCGAGGGCGTGCTTGTAACGGTGACACTTGCTGAGGTCCTTCGAGATCTGGCGGAGGTCCGAAATGGAAATTGGGTTGCCTTCAGAGACCCATCTCTGAAGAACGTTGGTGGCGCTTCTCTTGGGCTGCCTGAGACTGAAGACTCTGCTCTTCAGGTTGTCACTTTCCTCAGAATCTTGGACAAACTCATCGTTCACAACACCTGCTCCTCCTGACGACAACAATCTACCAACACTAAGACTAACACTGCTGATGCCGCTGCTCTGTCTGAGAGTGCGCAAGAGTGACAGCGACGCCATTGAGCCTACACTTTCTAGTTTCCGCTCGGCAAACTCTCTACTTCGGCACACACGCTCAACACAACTGATTGACACTCGACTTTCGCTTTTCAGCCGAAGATTTTGGGCCTTCCGGGGGTGGGCCTCACTATAAATTGGCAACACCTGTACTTATGTTTTGAGGGACTTACGGTAACAAGAGTGGTCATTATTAAGGGTTGGGTTCAAAAAATTAAAAATCGAAAAAAATCGGACTGAGCACTAAACTGAAACTGAAAAATCAAATCAAACCAAATCAAACATCATTGGTTTGATTTCGATTTTTGAGGTTCAGAAACCGAACCAAACCGAATCCTTTTACACTTCATGGATGTATGCCCATAATGTTTCTTTTGTGAAACTTTGTTGTCAAGTTTGAAACAATTGATCCTAAAAACAACCTAGCCTACGTGACGCACAGGCTGAGTAATTAAAGCTAACTACGTCATTCGGTCGAATGCGAGGTGTGCCAATGAGTCGGCTGAGTTCGGCTGGGGAGTAAAATATGTTAATGTGGTGTTGGGTGCACCAATGGCTTCTTAATCTCGTGACTGTAGCCGAGGAAGGAACGCATATCGGCCTTCGAATTCTAGAGCCTTAAGACAAGGCTGTTAGTTCTATGAAGTTTAATATCAAATTCGGCTTTCAGTGTGTTGAATGTAGTAATCTGGTAACACCTCACTTTGTTGAGAATGCTAATGAGATGACCTCTACCAACAAGGACTCGAAAATCCTTGTTGACCGAGACTTGGATAAATAACCAATCGGTGTCGAAGCAGTGTTGTTTATCCAAACTGAAGATGCTCCTCGGTCGGCTGATTCTACGGCTCTAGTGCTGTTTATCCAAACTGAAGATATCGCCGGTTGCCTTCATAGTGTTGTTTATCCAAACTAAAGATGTGTTGGCGGGAAAAAAGAAAATAAAAATCTTAAGGTGTTTAAGAAGTTTGCGCATGGCAATTGCATGTTGAATTGGAGGCTTTGAATGATACACCCTTTTCTTTATTTATAGTAGTGATTTCCTCCATGGCCGAGGTAGAATTTCACTCGGACTAGAATTCCTTAACCCAATGTGATTAGGTCTTGACCAATCCTAACCCCTATAGGACTCTGAACCAAGCTCTTTTATCACTCAGATTCATCCCTTAATTCTCAGCATCTTTTATGATTCAAAGCATCCTTAGCTTCTGAAGAATCCTCATTGCACTAGGATTTGGCTGAACTCCATTGGACTCGACCCATGATAGAATATTCCTAGTATCCCTTCTGGACCGAGAATAAATCTAGGCTTGGCTCAAAGCATTATTTTGGGCCCAAACATTGCCCTTTTGTTTCTGAGGTCTTCGGCCTACAGTGTTTGACTGAACTTTGCCCTTGAAGAAGCGATCTATTATTAACTGAGAAATAAACCCTCGACCTACACTTTGTGGTCGATCAAAAGATCCTTGCAAAAACAAATATTCCTATCCACTCAATATATACTTATCACGCACGATCTCCCACTATATGTTAGTCCTTGATAATCGCAAAGGTTTAACACATGGCACCTTCTTATCGCAATTGTCTAGATTCGGAAACACACACGCCTCACACCTGAGGCACGTAGACATCGAAACATCTCTTCCTTACAATTGTGCCCTAAAGTTCGCCGCCACATGCAATTGTGCAACCCTGATTCACGTGTTTTTCGGCTTCTTCGCCTAGATTTTTAAATTTTTGTAATGATTGCAAAATATTTTGGCCGGATTTACCCCTTAACTTTCGAATTTGAAACCATTGATCTTCTTCTTTAGTTACCTATAAATATCACTTTTTGCCTCATTCCAACTTTACGCTTCCAAAATTCTCAAAACTCTTACCATGTTGCTTTGAGCTTTCAAAACCACGAAAAGACCAACCTTTGAAACCCTGACAAAAACCTCCAAACCCTTGCTTCAAGGGCTACCAATACCTTCATCACCAAGCTTGTCGAAGAATGTGACAAATGTCACGATTTCATCTCAGAATGCCATCAAAACCCTCCGATTTGAAGAAGATTCAGTCGCCTCTCACCAGATCCTAGGTCATTTGTTTAAAGAGGATGTTCTATAGGTCATCACTGAAATGCTAAAGAAGCACTACTTGAGTCTTTATTCCAATTGTATGATTAGTTGAAATAAGAATCGACCAAACCTCAAAGAGGTTATCCTTTGACCCTTGTAGCCTGGGCTGCTTGGGTTAGTCCAATGGAACCCCACTTCAGCAGCGACTAGAAGTCATTTGGCATTTTTTACACCATTAAAATCTCGACCATCAAGGTTAACATGGACCGAGAACTTTTGATGGCCGCCTTGAGTTTCTGGTGCTTGGCCACCAACACCATGGTGCTTCCCCTCGGCCCCATTGGTCCAACTGTTCTAGACACAACGACTATCCCCTGCACCTCACCATTTGATCTTCCAGTTGATACCACTCTTTCTCGACATTAGTTCAATTTGGATTTGAAAACAGTCTACGACGAGAGCGCTCTCGAAGTCCTGAAAAAGGATAACCGAGAGGAAGCATCAAAAGATGAAGTGAACAAGCTGCACAAGAACTTCTTCAATTACAGCACTCTCATCAACCACTTTGTTGGCTAAGAAAAAGAAATACTCAGGAAGGGAGAGCATGAGGCCTTCTTGTTTTACTGGTACAACAAATTCATCTTTTATACTAAGTCAAACAAATGCCTTGCCAAGAATATGCCAGTGGTCGAAGCCCTGGCTAGTGATATAACCATAATTACATAGTTTTATGTTTACATTCTTGTTATGTTTTTGAGTGAATTTAATTTGTTTCACTTAGTTTTATGTTTTTCTTAGATTTAAAGAGTGAAGATGAAGAAAGAAGGAAAAATGAGCACTTTTGCGATAGAAATGAGTTTAGCATGCTGGAAGCAGAAGCTGTTTGTGCAGATCAGCCAACTTTACAGGATTAAACTGTACTTCCTCATAATGAACCAGCTGTTGAGCCTTGTACCATTGGAAAGACTTGGAAGTTAGCGTTTAGAGGAATTTTACGGTTCATGATTTCGACTTTCCTAGAAGACGTTATAGTGATTCTTGTACCGGACGTCTGCCAGTGATGCTTACGCGAGATTTGCAAAGACATTTCAGATTTATAAATTTTAATAAAACGAAACATGCAAAGAAAAAGGAGAGCTATTAGAAGAGTTCAAGACTATCCTAAAAGGTTCATACTTAATATATTTACTAGTTTGGTGTGCCACATCATCAACATACCAATCCAAGTAAGAAGATAATTAAAGAGTCTTATTCAAGTAAGGATTTCAGCATTTATTCAAGAGAAATGGAAGGAAGAAAAAAAGAGGGACTTTTGGAGATCAGGTTTGGGGGGCACGTGATTTTTGAGTCCAAGGAGAAAAGGAAAGGTCGCAAGCTGCCAACCATCTTTCTTATCCATTTTAATCGTTCGGAAGTTTTTTATGTTTTCAAGATTTTAAATTATGTTTTCGTATTCTATGAATAACTAAGCTCTTTTTCTAGGGTTAGGATGATGCCCTAGCATGGATGTTTATGGTTTTTAATGTTATTCATTGGATTTCTAGTTTCTTTCAGATGACTGCTTAATCACTGTTTGAATTGTTACTTTTTGTTTGAGTTCTCTGATTGATCACCTTAGGACTTTGCATCTAGTAAGATTGGAAGATGAATTTAAGGCTGAACTAGCAATATAAGTTAATTAGCTTCTTGTGGTTAAGTGTGGTAAATTACATTATTGCTTGACAAAGAATAATGGTTTGCTTGGTTCCCTTGTTTTCTATAGCGTAAATAGTCCTACTGGTTAAATTTATGCCTTAACCAGGATAAATTGCATGTTAGGATATATGACATTTGCCTGAACTAGGAGAGAATCATTCACTTAAGGAAAACTATGGTCTAATGTGCCTGACAAGGACTTAGATGCGGAAATTATCATCTAAATAATCGAAAGATCCATTGAATGCATTGAAACCTAAACTAGATTGCTTGTGGTTGATTATGAATCCCTAGACTTTCACCATTGTTTGTCAAATCTCTACTTTCAATGTTGTCATCCATAGTACTTACTGTTTACTTTTCTTTTTAATATTGTTTTCGTTTGCTTAAAATCAAGTATTCAAAACAATTCTTTACAATTTCATTGAAATCATTAGTTTAAATTGACTCTAATTGGTGTTTGTTTAATTAGATTTTTTTAGGTTATCAAATACAGATTAAGAATCTTGGTGGGAACGACACTTGGACTTGTAAGCCATTATATTCTGACATTCTTATCCACTTGCAAGTTTACACCAAGTTTATGGCCCTGCTGCCGGGGATTCTTAATTTAATTTAGAATTTGGAATCCTAATTTACATCTAATTAAGTTGTTTTCTAGTTATTTTTCAGCTTGCTTTAGTTTTAGATAGACCTGGCAATTTCTTACATGACCCGTTAACACGACACGTAAACGACACGAAAATAACGGGTTTCGGGTCAACACGATAAATAATCGAGTCACTATTGGGTCACACGATAATAACCTGTTAATAACGGGTCCTTAACATGTTTACACAAGAGTGACATGCGGGTAACCTGTTTCAACACGATAAGAAAAATGCTATTTTGATGATTTTAATTTTTTAAACTACTAAAAAAAACTTACTATAAAATGCAATAGATATAATGAATATATATATATATATATTGTTTATTAATTATTATTCTATTATTATCCTATATAAATTTTAAAATTTAAGTTTAATTAATTAATTTATTTTTATAGTATATTATAGGCAAAGATTGAGATTAAAAATCATAAAACACATTAAAAATAAAAATATCAAGTAATTTAAAAATACCAAACACATAAAAAAAATTATAATAATTAATTTCCCACCTAATATTTCAAGCGTTTCATCCATTTCCCGCCTAATGTTTGGGAAATTTTGCAGCCTATATCCATCAATTTCCCGCCTAATATTTAACCCAAGGAAACTCTAAGTGTTAGTTAATGTATCGTTTTGATGGGATACGCATCCTATAAATCTAATTTCAATGATCCAATCG